ATGGGACAATGCTCCGAGCTACACCAGCCAGGTCTAATATTTTTAAACAACATCAAAGTAACTGAATCAAAATCAGAGAATATCTACAAGGAGGTAACAATTTTAAAGCAGTTATAAAACTGTTAAAGCCCCTGAGTCTAATAAAGCATAATGAGCCGAAACTGGTTTGGCTCAGTGGATAGAGCATTGGCCTGCGGACTGAAAGGTCCCGGGTTCGATTCCGGTCAAGGGCATGTACTTTGGTTGCGGGCATATCCCCAGAAGGGGTGTGCAAGAGGCCGCTGATCGATGACTCTCTAATCGATGTTTCTGACTCTCTATCCCTCTCTCTCTTCCTCTCTGTAAAAAATCAATAAAAAATATATTAAAAAAAAAAAAGCATAATGACATAACATTTTACTAGTGCTTAAATACTACACAGTTTATCGAACAATCTACCTGTAAAGGTAAGGTACAACTTACCCTGAAAAAAAGTGAAAGGTAACACTATTTAATTTAAGGTCAATGTGTTTTAAGTTTCAGCATTAGTAATGTCTTTTTAATTTGCATTAATAATTTAAAAAAAAAAAACTCCTGATTTTATTAACAATGGAGGGAAAGCCTACATTCTACCTACATTTCTTTTTTTTTGTTTGTTTTTAATAAACTTTAACGCAAATCGCTTACTGCTGCTGAACTCTGTTTGCAATTATGAAGGTTATAATTCACCAGTATTGAATAGAGAAACTTGCCACCATTCCCATCAATTAGTAGGGGAAAAGGAATTAAGACACTTCAAAATTATTCAGGCAAAAATTCTGACATTTCACTATTTACATTAAACAATTATTACACAATTAACATTAAGTTATATTAGGTTATATTACTTCTATGAGAATAATATCTCCAAGTATAAAATATATCTCAAGTATAGAACATTGACTATAATACAAAATCTACCAAGCAAAATCTACCAAGTAAAGCTATTAACTCTAAATTGGAAAATATTACTAGATGATGTTTTTAAATGTATAAATACTATACTCTCCAGGTCATTTAACCAAAATGTATTTTTTAAAATATTGTTTTAAGCACAAAAAGCTTATAAACTTAAGTTTAATAGAATTCACCCATCCCTAGGGTCAGCTGTATAGACTGCTGTAATATCTAAATCCCTCAGGGGCTTAGAAACAGAACAAACTTTCTAATACCTATGGTATCAGCCCAGATAACATGAGAAAAGAACAGCTGGGACTCAGTGAGTCTCAATCAGTTACTGAACTGGATTTCAATCATTCATTAATGTCTTTAAGAAAATATCAGAGATGTTGTTACTCTTTTTTTAACTGGTTGAATGAGCAGAGACTAGGACTTCACAACTTAAGAATGAAATAACATGGGGAGTACATGTTACTGCCATCTCCCAAGCTACTTAAAATGACAAAGAGCACTTGGGATTTATAGATTTAAAAATTGTATGTTTGATTTTTTTAAACCATCATTATCAGACATTGAATAAAGGCTTAAAATAATTTAACTGTATATGAGTCTTAAATATCCACTTAGATTCTAAACTAGCATTATCATGTTTAAGAGAAACCATACTGGGGGAAACTACTGCCCATAATTTATTCCCATGATATAGAAAAACCTCAAAACACCTACTAGATAATGATTAGGAGGGAGAAAATGTTACAAACTGGTGATTTTAACAGTACACTGTAATATGCCCTCTTATAAAAAAGGAGACTAACATTAGACCAAGTAGAAACTCTGCACTAATCCATTCTTAAAGTCTTCTTTGCTCAGTCAGGTATTTAAATCACTTTACGAGAGGCTGCTCAAAGTGAAGATATCCTGAAGCATGAGTTATTTATTAAGCCACATGCCAATATTTTCCATATTGTGATTAAGATTCTCACATCCCCCAAACTATTACATCTAAGTAGACAATCTCCTATGACAAAATTATTATTACACTGCTAAGATCAATTTACACTAAATAAATAACCTCCTCTAACAGGTTAATGGTTCTGTATTTAAATGTGTGAAAGTTTCTGGAGAAAAGCCACAAAAGTGTGCCCTTTAACACTACTATATCCTGCTGTATAAAATTCCCATAGTTACTTGAATAATGAAAAAACAGATCTGCTTATCAAGCTGCAAGTGACCAATGGATAAGTACACTTAACAATACACATATAATCAATGTTCAAAATTATCATTAGGTTAAAATGCTATGCCAAAAACATCTAAATAAAGTTTACAAGCGATAAGTCTGAAATTAAGTCTAAAAAAATATTTCTCTAGCTCAAGATGAAGAAATGGCTTGGCAACAGTTGATTTAAGAAAGTAGGCTTTAGCCGAGACCAGTATGGCTCAATGGATAGAGTGTCGGCTTGGGGACTGAAGGGTCTCGGGTTCAATTCCGGTCAAGGGCATGTACCTTGGTTGCGGGCATATCCCCAGTAGGGGGTATGCAAGAGGCAGCTGATCAATGACTCTCTCATCGATGTTTCTAACTATCTCTTTCCCTTCCTCTCTGTACAAAATCAATAAAATATTTATTTTTTTTAAGTAGGCTTTAGCCCAGCCAGTGGTTGCACACTGACCTATGAACCAGAGGTCACAGTTCGACTCCAATTCAGAACACATGACTGGGCTTCCAGCTCGATCCCCAGTAGGGGGCGTGCAAGAGGCAGATCAATGATTCTCACCACTGATGGATCTCTCTCTCTCTCTCTCTCTCTCTCTCTCTCTCTCTCTCTCTCTCTCCTCCCTGCTCTCTGAAATCAATAAAAAATACATTAAAAAATAAAAAGAAAGTAGGCTTAAGATGTATATAAGCCTAAAAAAACATCCAAAGTATGACAAGGCAGTTATAAAACTAATGGAATTGTAGGTCCTAGGCAAAAAACAATGCATCCAAAACAAATGTCCTAAAACAGTGAAGTATCTGAAAATCATGGAGCAAACTGAAGGAACCAGAGGTATTTAGCCTAAAGAACATAAAAGAGAAACATCTGAGCAGTTTGCAAAGACAGGGTGGGACAAAAGTAGGTTTACAGTTGTTCATATGGAAAATAATATAATAATTAATAAGTGATAATACAAGAATAAAGTCTGTGTTTCGCATACTCACAACTTCGTACCTACTTTTGGCCCATCCTGTATTTTGATAGTCTGAGTAGTATCTGAATAAGAAGTCTGTGCTTCTCAAACTGTGATAAAGGAATAACTTTTTTCCAGTCCTCACAGACACTTATAAAATACAGTAACAATAGCAAGACAATGGAAAATTGCTATTAAAATGTCTAAATGCTTATTCTCAGTTTCTGTACTTAAGTCACTGTAAACGGGTAAACAGGTCATGACTTCTGTTTGAGTAGCTTTATTCCATCTGTACTAGAAAAAAGTAGTAAGTTAAAGGGAACCATTTTATGGGGAGTTAAATTTCAGCTTGAATCCCCAGCAAATAGATGTGTCCAATATTGGAATTGGCTCAGAGCACTAATCACCTTGAAGAGGTTTTTAGAGAAAAAAATTGTGTCATATAATCTGTAAAATGGATTGCTACACTGGAAAGGTGATTAGGTTAAGTCATTGAATCTCTCTAGACTCTATGCTTCTGAGAGGCCAATCAAAAGCAAACACATAAAATCCTTAAAGTAACCAATAAAAATAAAAGCATACTTAGAAAATCAGTTGTGATATATTAGGTAGAACATATGTGAAAAGGAAAAAGATAGAAAAAAGACTTATGTAAACCATAATTAAGAAACCTTAAATATGTGAGATTTATTAATAAAGGATCACTGTTTTCCTTTTTAACTCATTACTGACTATGTAAATACATTCTCGTTGCCCCTTCAAAGTTTAAAACAGTCCTCACTACTCAAACCACAAAACAAGGATTAATTTTAATTTTAAGAAACATTGAGGAACACTATTGCCATTTTAAATTCTCACCTCTGAGTAACCATCAACCACCAAAAAATTTACCAGTATAACCTCTGTACCTATCTTGACCCTGACCTAACTGTACTATTGGCATAAACAATATTAGCCTTCTCTTCTGGTTAAATCATTCACTTTCTATTGGTAACTACTTAAATGAGTCTGTCCTTCCCAACTAAAGTCTTAAGGAAATAGAAATATGTACTCCCCATATTATTTCATGATCAATAGCAATTTCACACACTTTCAACCATAAATGTTAAATAGTTGCAAAGTACTCAGGCAAAAGCTATTGCTATTGCCTCCTTTCTGTACCCCCTCAGTCCTTCAAATCCACCATCTGTAGAAACTGAACTAAAGCCAGCCAACTACTACTATTAACTTGTAGTTTGTTGAGGGTTCTTAGGTACAGATGTTACATAGTAGTCTACAATATCTTGTAAGAACAAAGGTGGCACCAAATCAAGTGTCTTCACTAATTACCATATGTACATACATCATTTCTCTAGAATTATAAATGAATATCCTTAGAAGAAAGACTTCTATTAATGCAATTCACATTGTTGTATTTTAAATTATTTTTTTCATAGTAAATTTGGTACACTATTTTCTAAATTTCTGATCTAAAATACCACCGGTAATGAACAACCCATTTTTTTAAAAAAGCAAGTATCAATAGAGATATCAATAAATTAAAATACAAAACAATGAGAACAAAGAGTGGGAATAAACACACAGAAAAAGAATAGCAGATACGTTAAAGTGATAGAAAAAGAAAACTTATCCCTCAACAGTGACTTTTTAAATCACAAGAAAACAAATCCAAAGTAAAAATCACGATATGCTTGCCAGCTTTCTTTTAAAATCAGACTCAAAAATCTATGAATAGACTCAGTTAACATGAGTACTTAAATTGTTACACTTTGAAATTTTCCTGGAATGTTAAGAAATCACCTGCAATGAGCCCTTTTCCACAAGTTCTTTCAGAGGAATGAAGACTTTAAACATTTTTAAGTATGAGCTCCAAAATAAATTCTCAATTCTGAGAAACATTTGAAAATCACCTGTTTTGTCTCTCAGTATTCTGTAGCTCCCTGTGGTCCCTTTTCAGATGTTTGGTCAAAGATGTAAAGTATTCTTTTAAAAGATTCTGGAAAGGTTGTTGTTTCTCTGGACTAATTATCTCACTAGGAGGAAAAGTCAAATTAAACTTCTCTGCAGCACTCTTTACTTTCCTTGGTATAAGTCCAGCAATATCATCTCCACAATGTCGACAAAAACTAATCACCACAGAAACATGAGTATGTGATTCCCGATCAGCATTAATAATATTTTTAAGCTGTTCATAGATTAAAGAAAGACCTTCCTTGTCAGTGAAAATCCCAACTATTGTCAATTCCGCAATAAAACGTAAATCAGTTCTTAATTTGGTAATGTTAGGTGTTTTCTCTTCTTTCCTTGCTTCAAAATGTTTTTTCCAAACCTGCAGAAGTGATGGAGCAAAGTCGACATAGCGCTGGTGAAACAGAGAGCATAAGTGCACAGCACAATTCACATCAGATATTTTTAGCTTTGCTTCCACAATAGAAGCTACAGCTTCTGCAATGTATTTACTTAAATTTAGGCCACTAAAATCATGGGACAAGGAGTCTCTCTGTTGCTCCGTAATAGTTTTTAGTTTCTTGACAAAAGCAGTATTTTTCTTCAAACTTGAGTCTAGTCGGCTAAAGAAATTTTCCTCTGGTCGGTTGTCTGGAGCATTTTGGTTTTTGCTGCGAAGTTCCTTTCTTAACTGATGTCGTTCCCATGCTTCCTGATGAAGCTGAAGAGATTCCTCTTTCTCTCTATATAAAAAAAAAAAGCAAACAAGTAAAATACCCTGTTTACTTCAAAGCATCACTGCCAAAACCCATATAAGTGAAAGTCAATGAAAAGTAATCACATAAGCATCACAATCTCATAAGAACATAAAATATGCAAAAGGCCCTTTCACTACTTTTAAAGACATTTTATTGATGACTTAAGATATGAACTCTGTACTGATAATACCATATATGGTAGAGGAGATGTTTTAAATAATTAAATTAAAAATCAGTCTGCCACCTGGTAAGCTAAATGGATAAAGCACTTTTATTTGGCATTTATACTTCAATGAAGCTGAAAAAAATAAACAAACAGATAAAGCACATGATGCTTAATATGAAAAATCCTCCTATATTATAAAAACATAGTATGCAAATTGTCCCCTGGAATGGGAGGTCATGTAGGAGTTCGACCAGGGGGCGGGGCTGGCCTGGGGAAAGGAGGAAGGCTCCAGTCAGCAGTGACAGAGGCAGGCAGCCGGGGAAGGGAGGGAGGCCCTGGCTGGCAGCCAGCAGCCACTAGGGACCCTATTAGTGCACCAATTTTGTGCACTGGGCCTCTAGAATATAACAAAAGGCTAATATGCAAATTGTCTCCTTGGGAGTTCAACCACTCGCTGTAACATGTAGTGACCACCAGGGAATGGCACAGAATGAAGGCAGGACCTGGCCAGAAGCCAGTAGCTGGTGTAAGGAAGGTCCCTTGTGCCCTGATCACCGACCAGGCCTAGGGAGCCTACCTATGCACAAATTTTGTGCACCAAGCCTCAAACCTAAAACTGCCCTCACTGTGTTGCTCAGCGCTCAGTTGCTCAGTGGTCTCTGTGCACCAGAGTCTCAGGTTCAGTTTCCAGTCAAGGACACATACCTGAATTGCAGGTTCTCAATCCCCAGCCACAGTTGGGGCGTGTGCAAGAGGCAACCAATCAATGTCTCTCTCATCACATCAATGTCTGCCTCTCTCTGTGTCTCTTCTCCCTCTTACCACTTTCCTCCCTGGAGGATATCCTTGGAAAAAATATCCTTGGGTGAGAATTAACAAAAAATAAAAATAAAAAAAATACATTAAAAATGTTTTGAGACAGTAAGTACCATTTTTCCGTACTTAAGCATTAACCAAACCTTTAATTAAGTACCTTGTTACATTTCAAGTGTAACTTTAAAAATTTGCAAAGGAACTAGAAGAAAATTATATGGTAAAAGCCCTACAAACTCAGTGTATCCTGAAAAGAATAGTTAAAAACAAACCTACCTATATTCCTACTAAAAAGATGAAACGTGTTTAAATTGCAAAAACAGTAAAATAGCTTAGGCAGAAGTAGAAGAGTGGGGATAACCTGACTTTGAGATTTCTAAGATACCAAAATATATAACTTTTAAATATTTATTCCATAAAAAGTAGATTTTCATCTTCCTGAGATAACTATCCTTGAGCCACCTGTAATTCTCATTTTTTCCCCCACTACAAGCCACAATGTTAACAAAAGTTGCATCCATCACTGGGAATAGGGACATGTGAACATTTCTTGAAAGTCTCCCAGCCACAAACAAACACAGGATTAATAATTAGTATACTTTAAGAAACTATAACTTGAGCAGGAGTGCAGCATATATTTGCATTAAATAACTGAATTTTCCTCAGCATTAAAAATACTTTAAGATATATAATGAAATATGTACAGATAAAATGTGATCTTTTAAAATACTCCAGGAGAACCCTGGCCTGCGTGTAAGTGGTTAGAGCACCAACCCTCAAACCCAAGGGTCACAGGTTCAGTTCCTGTTAAGGGCAGTCAAGGGCGGTCAAGGGCATGTATGTGGGTTGTAGGTTCCCCACCCTGGTCGAAGCATGTGTGGGAGGCAACCTATTGATATGGCTCTCGCACATCGAAGTTTCTCTCTCCTCTCTCCCCTTTTCTCCTCCCACACTCTCTAAAGTCAATGGAAAAATATCCTCCAGAGAGGATTAACAAACAAACAAAAAATACTACATGGAGGAAGGAAGTACATAATAATTGGTGCTGCACAGATTGGGGTGCTGGAGTATTGGTTCATTATTATATTCTACTTTTGCATATGGTTGAATTTTTCCAATTTTTCCTTTAATGTGTTTTTGGTTGTTGTTTTAAGCTCTTTGTATTTGAAGGGAGAGGGAACAAAAGTTACAATGAAATTAAATACCTTTGTGAATTTTTAAAGAAAAGGAAAATGTAAAATAAGCAAGAAGCGCCAAGGTGTGGATCAGTGATTGATCGTGGATCCATGAACCAGGAGATTAAGGCACATGCCTAAATTGCAGGCTCAATCCCCAGTAGGTGCCATGCAGGAGACAGCCTATTGATGATTCTCTCTCATCATTAATGATTTCTATCTCTTGTCCTCTCTCCTTTCCTCTCTCTGAAATCAATAAAAAAAATATTTTTAAAGAATTTGTTTTAAAAAAAAAAAGGCAAGAAACTCTCAAGAATCATGGTTCTGAATATTCCAAACCTAGAATACATTACTATTGCCTTCCAAACTTAAGGGTCAATTCCTCATTAAAAATAGAAGTACTGCCCTGGCAAGTGTAGTTCAGTTGATTGGTCGAGATCCCATGCACTGAAAGGTTGCCGGTTTGATTCCTGATCGGGGCACATGCTCAGGCTGTGGGCTCCATCCCAGGTAGGGGGCAGGCAGGAGGCAGTCAATCAATGCTCTCACAACAATTATTTCTCTCTCTCTCTCCCTTTCTCTCTCTAAAAAAATCAATAAAAAATATATATATATTTTTTAAAAACAGAAGCACTGTGCTAAAGAACCTTTGTAAGGAAGTAGATGTCTGAGCTACTCCAGAGATCCATAACAACTTATGTTTGCAAACAGCAATATATGTAAAGAGAAGAGTTCCTGCCATTCACTAACTGTCATTTGCGCTACATCCTAGTAGTCTTCCTATAAAGACTACTTGTTTTTCACCATTTACTATATTATTTGCATAGATTTACAAGGTTAAAAATAAGTTTAGATAAAGGTAAGAATGGTTGGCATTACAGAATTATACTTAAGGACAAAGGTTCAAATCCTAGTGCACTGCTGTTTATTATGACCTCGGGCAAGTTACTTAACCTCTTTAACTTTTATCAATCTGAAATATAAGGATCATAAAACTTCATTAGGACTGTCTTAAGTATACGTACTGATACACTTCCTGGTGCCAAGCACATAGTAAGAACTCAACAAAGAGCAGTCATTAAGAACTAAAGATTTTCCAATTTAAAAAGAGAATGTACCATAAAAAATTGAAACTTTAAAAAACAAATTAATTCAGATTACCCTCTATCTCAGAAATATATTAAAGACTACTATTTAATTCAAATAATTAAAGCACCATAGGCATGCCTCCATTCAGTGAAACTAACAGAATATACAAAATATTCCCAACTCTTAAAGAACTGTACTCCCAAGTTTTATTTATATAATCATTTTTTCCAAATATTTCCACCTTCCCATTTCTCACATCAATCTTTAAAATAATGTTCTTACTTCAATTGGGCAGCTTCTTCCTCTTGCTGTCGTTTTGCCTGCTCTTCCTGCTTCTTTCTCTCTTCTTCTTCAAGTTTCTTTTTTTCTTCTTCCTCTTTTTTCTTTAATTCCTCTTCTGCCTTTACCTTTTCTTCTTCTTTTTTCTTGCGTTCTTTGTCTTCTTTTTTCCTCTTATCTTCTTCCAGTTTCTTCTTTTTATCTTCAGGGACCTTAATAACCTCTTTCTTGGCAGGGAGCTTGATCTCTTCTTTTGGTTTCTCCCTGCTACTCACTGGCCGCTTTTCACCACAATCTTTTTCCTTGTTGTTAAGCAAAGATTCTTTTTCTTCCATACTTGCCGGCTTTTTACGCTCAGCTGGCATTATGTTACCCAGGACAATCTGTAAGAGTAAAAGAATGTCAGTATTGTAGATGCAGTGACTTTTTTTTTTTTTTTTTTTAGCAATATGACACTATTGTTTTAAGCAGAACATCTTAATGCAATTTGGCAATTGTGAGATTAAATAAATGCATGCAAAATGAATACTATTTCTGTGATAAAATAATTTATTGGTCACTTTCCACTCTCTATCATTATTAGTTATGCCTATGTCTAAGTACTTTTTTATTAACAAAAAGCTCAAATAGAAACAGAAGTAGAGAACACAATATAAGGAAATTCCTTCCATATACGTAGCACCCTAATTCAATCATTATCAACTGTAAAATAACATATCATTTAATCATTAATATTTTAGTAATGTATCAGACATTTTGAATCAGTATTAATCCCAACATTTCACATCCTTTAAGAGATCCCAGTGACACTATTTTGCATAATAGTCAATAGGAGAATTTAAATTGGAGCATAAATGAGTTCTTGCCCCCTACAAATCAACTAACAAAATAGAAGACTCACAAATGTTACCTCATTCTTCTAACCTTGTAAAACTTTCAAATTCAAAAACTGTCAACTATTTCAAATTAGATTAGACTTTTAATCTCTTCATTAACAATAAACTCATTTCTAAAAATAAATATCTCTACTTAGATGTAATTTTTTATGGACATTGCTCCATGTTTTAACTCCTAAATCATGAAAAAGTTGTATGAGAAAAATCAAAACATTTTCTATTTAACTTCCTAGTTCTTTATTAAAAACTAAACTTACATAGTATTCGTAAATATTTTCAAATATAGGTTTTAAATTAAAGCAATAAAAACTAGATTATCAAGCAAAACATTTGCAATAGTATTTTATTACTTACTAACATACAAAGCATTTATTTTAGCACTCTAATAAAATGTTATCACAGAAGACAACCCAAGCCAGCAGACTACACTTGAATAATTTTTGAAGGCACATGTCATTCTGTACCTTTTCTGTTACCTCTTCCTTCCCTTTTTTCTTTTATTCTCTTACTTTCCTCCATGTTAATCCTATTTAAGCAATCATTGCAATATGAAAGAGCATAATTTACACATGTGGCAAGACTGTTAATATTTATATTATTATCAATTCTTATACACTTCAATTAAAAACCCACCTTTAACGTGAAAGTATTATGCCCTAAAGCAAGCAAACTTTTCAAGGAGGTAATAGCTACCACTCACTAGTCCATAGTAAACATACACTTTATCTCTTCTAATACTGAAATCTTTATGAGGTGGGTATTAATTTCCCTATTTTATAAATGCGTAAACTGAGACTTGACCAAGTAACCTGACCAAGGCCCCTATAGTCGGTGACAGAGATGGAATCTGATGAACCCATATTCTTTTTTTTTTTTTTTTTTTTTTAAACTGAACTGATTTATTTATTCAACAAATATTTGAGTGCTTACTCTGTGCTAAGCATTTATGTGTGACATCTGGAATTAAATTTGAAACAAAATTAAGCTCGTTTTTTTCTCACTGTAGACAGAGTAATTTCTTCACATGCAGTTAACATACAATATACTGGTATAGAGACAATGTAGCATAGTGATTAAGAACCTTGAATCTGCTTTGTTCACCATGAATCTCCAGTCAGTGGGATAGGGTCCGTCTGACAGAACCATTGAGTAATAGCTGTGGACTGAATAAATGCTTATAAAAATAGCCATGTGCTCTGGGAATTTTCAAACCACTGGTAAAATCAACTTTTCCCATCATCTATAGGATGTGTCTGTGTCTCCCTCATAAGTACAAAGAAGTTTCTTTGACAAATGCTAGGTTGTCAGGAACAGCGGCACTGTGTACCTTAGGACTTCTCATTTTGATTCAGGAGGGGTGCTGGGTACGGCACATAGCACTTATCAAACTCATTTGAAATGAACATATATGAGTCAATGTTTATTTTTAAATTGCCAGTGCTCATCATATGTACTGGCTGGTTGGACAGACATACAGTCGGTCACTTAACCTCTTATATATATATATTTTTTTTAAATAAATCTTTATTGTTCAGATTATTACAAATGTTCCTCATTTTTTCCCCTCTATTTCTCCCCTCCACCAGGTTCCCATCCCACCCTCCACTGTCCTCATCCGTAGGTGCACAGTTTATGTTCAGTCTCTTCCAGCACCCACCACTCCCCTTTTCCCCGTGACTCGTCAGTCCACTCCCCTTCCATACCACTCATTCTATTATATTCAACAGTTAATATTGTTCATCGTGTTTTTTAATTCCCTTGGATTTTAGATTCACTTGTTGATAGTTACGTATTTATTGCTCATAATTTTTATCTTTACTTTCTTCCTCTTCCTAAAGAACCCCCTTCAGCAATTCATATAATTTTGGTTTGGCGGTTATGAACTCCTTTAGCTTTTTTTTTTTTTTAATTTGTGAAGCTCTTCATCTGGCTTTTGATTCTGAGTGATAGCTTTTCTGGATAGAGTATTTTTGGCTGTAAGTGATGAACCCATATTCTTAACCAAAGTTATTAAGAACCGTGAGAGTACTAAATGATGAGTTGGAAGACTTCATGATAGATATTAAGAAAAATCACAGAATTATTAATCTTAGAGTAGAAAGAGTCCCTGATAATGATTAAGCAGTTTTTACATTGTTTTTAAATTTTGGCAGATTCTACCTTAATAGGGGCAAGTTAATTTTTTTTTTAAATATATTCTATTGATTTTTTTACAGAGAGGAAGGGAGAGGAATAAAGAGTTAGAAACATTGATGAGAAGAATCATCGACCAGCTGCCTCTTGCACACCCCCTACTGGGGATGTGCCCAGAACCAAGGTACATGCCCTTGACCGGAATTGAACCTGGGACCTCTCAGTCCACAGGCCAACACTCTATCCACTGAGCCAAATCGGTTTTGGCGTGGGGCAAGTTAATTTTTAAGATACCAATACAACCTTATTTATGATATTCATCATTATGCGTAAAAAATGTTTACAAAGATTTTGTATTTTGATATTAAGTATCAACAAATCACATTTTAGCAATACAAGGAATAAAAATAAATTTATAATTAATGTCTCATTTTCTAATATAAAATTAGATACCAAATACTCTTGAAACATTAAAAAATTCACTTGAAATGTGACAAATTCATACATGATAAAGGATTATCATTTATTAGCTCACCAAAGTCTCCCAAATGTTTGTGACTCTCTATAGCTTTCATTTTTTTAAAAAATATTTTATTGATTTTTTTTTTTAAACTGTCTGCCCCGTATCTGTCTGTTATGATTTCACTCAATTCATCCCGGTCATCAAAAGGCAGTTTATTCTAGGAAGGTATAGTGACAATCAGAGCAATACTTAGCTCAATCTGTGTATCATCCTCCCAGTATTTTATTGATTTTTTTACAGAGAGGAAGGGAGAGGGATAGAGAGCTAGAAACATCTGAGAGAAACATTGACCAGCTGCCTCCTGCACACCCCCTTACCGTGTATGTGCCCACAACCAAGGTACATGCCCTTAGACCAGAATTGAACCTGGGACCCTTCAGTCCGCAGACCAATGCTCTATCCACTGAGCCAAACGGGTTTTGGCAATAGTTTTCATTTTTTAAATAAAATTTTAAGTGCCTACTACACCAAACTGTAGTAAGCATTCATAAATTAGATCCTGTTCTAGAGCATACTAAAATAGACTCTAAAGAAGACCCTTAAGTCTTGGTACTGGTATCTTCTTTGTATCATTTTATCTTTATATTACAAACATATACTCCAAGTATATATACTTGGAACTAAATTTCAGTGAACAAAAAAATATGACAAAAATCTAAAGGTTCATGTAAAGGTATCAATGCAACATGTAAAAAAATAACATAGGCTTTGAAGTCAGGAAAACCTTAAGTGTGCATCCCAACTCTGCAACCTGGAAATTGGACAACAACTTCTGAATCTACTTAATAAAATGGAGATATTGCTACCTATCTTACAGAGCTCTTAAACTTCTAACATAAAGGAGGCATTAATAAATATTTATATTCCCTCACACAGAACACTAAAGTTCATTATGAGAGATTTTTAGAGTTAGGACTACTAGATTTTTCATTTATTCCAGTTCTCAATTTTTACATTGAGGTGGCAAGAGAAGAGTGACATACCCAAGATTACACAACTAGTTTACTGGTTGGGTTAAGTCTCAGTGTCCAGTGCTCTTTTGCACTATATACCCTGACTCTAAGATTTAAAAATAAAATAAATATACAAACGATTAATGTAGATCAGTGTTTGTATTATGCCAATTAAAAAAATTAAACTGAGCATTAAACTAGTTAATGAAATGCTAAACTTCTTTTAAACTATTTTAATAAATCCATGTTCAGTAAAGTGTTTCAAAAAGTATTAAGTAAAAACTAGGACTTTAAATAAATTCTATCTCGAAATAATAAAAATTAACAATCTTTTAATTAGAATATAATTAGCTCTTACAGTTATTCTACTGACTACAATTACATTCATACGGTCCCTAAAAAGAACCCATACTTTAAAACCACCTTTCTAGCTCCAAAATAGTGTCTTGGCCCTTGGGCTTTACGTTTTATTTGGTTTTCTAAATATATTCTGAACTTCCAAAAGAAAGTACAACTACTTCACTAGTAAAGCAGGTACCATCGCAGTGTACTGGGGGACAGAGTGCAGAGAAGGGGTGTTGGTCTTTTAAAAATACCATATGGACTCTGTATGAAATCACAATCAGACTGCTCTGAAAATACTCCAGAGTAAGAGAATGCTGTTTACCTTTTAATTCTGTGTTATTCAAATGGTCTAAGGGTGTAACAGCAAAAGGGCATTATTTACCAGTCTTTGAAGTAAAGACCATCCTTAGTGTAAAAGACTCAAAAGTTTTTACAAATGTCACCGGTGCTCAAAAATGGTTCTCCCGGTCAGCTGTACAATTTTTACAAACACCTACAAACTATGATCAATGAGAAGGGCGAGTCTCACTTTGGTCTGAAGCATCACTACGTACAAGTCCCAAAACAAAAAGAGCTGACGGTCCGGTCCAGTGTGTACCCTCAAGCCTATCAGCTGGCTCTGCTTGGCCAACCTGGAAACCGAATATCCTGCGATCATCTTCTTCAACAGCCCTAACAAGAGTACCAGGAGCCATGGGATGAAGGCAAAGTGAAGGCTCGCCGGCTTTACCAGACTAAAAAGAAGCAAACCAGACAATCTATGCCCACCTTCCCCAGATACACCAAAACCCCTGCCCCTAAACACGCATCTCCCACAAACCCCTGTTCTCGCTCCGTTCCCATACCTACCACGCTTCCCCGCCGCTAGTTCCCTTCCTGTGGGCATCCACGGTCACCTTCGACTACCATCCCTGCCCGTACCCCAACTTCATACCCCACCGGCCCCCGCACCGAAGACCGAAACTCTCCTCCGGCTGGTATCCCCGCTCCGCATCCTCCCACACGAGCACCCTCCCCACTTCCTCGCCCTCGCCTCCCTCCCGGCTCCCAAAGAGCTTTCCCCAACCTCCCCCGCTCTACTCCACACCCCCAAACACCTTCACCCCGACACAGCAAGCTGTCCGCCTCCAGCCGCGAGGCCCAGCCGGGGCATGTGGGGCAGGGGCCCCTCATGCCTGCCCCGGATCGGGGGCTCCGGCGTCGGTGGGAGCCTCCGAGAAAGAGGTGTAAGGAGGACGACGCTGGACCCGCGGTCCGTCTCCTGCTTGCCGCCCCCGGAGCGCCGGGGTGAGGAGTCGCCTCTTGGGTACCACGGGGAGTGGGAGTCCAGGCCGGTGCTCCTCAAACCCGCTTCTCCCCGGTCGTTGGAGCGGAGGGGAAGGGGGTTCTCCGGGACTCACCTCGAGCCTGTTGTCAACATTAGCCCCGGGTTTCCCAGCACTAACTCCAGCTCGGGCTCTCCCCTCCCTTCCCCCCACCTATCTCGCAGCCGAGGGCCCGCCTTCCCTCAGCTCCCCCTCCTCCCTCCGCCCGCCGGCCCTCCCGCCCGTCCGCCCGCCACTCACCAGCGCGGACAAGCTGTGAGTGGGGGCGGGGAGGAGCGAGGTGGAAAGGAAGAAGCTCTCCCCTACATTGCCAGATTGAACACAGTTCGGATCGCCCATCCTCCAGCATACCGCTGCCCTCAATTTAGCTACGAGGTGGTAGATAGCGAGTAAAGGCTCATATGAGTGCCACACACTTAGTGGCTCGTTTGAATTGTCCGCTTGATAAGAGGAGAAAATTTTTTTAGACAGGCAATCAGCATGACAGCCACAACCAGCACCTCGAGCCAGGGCCCCAGCTGAGGGGAGGAGTGTTCCGAGAGCCGGAGGCAGGAAGTGGATTGGTCGCCTGGAAAGGGAAGGCGCCCTGTATTGGAGGTGCGCAAGCGCAGGCCTCTGGGAGAGGGGAGAGGGAGGGGAAGCGAGAATGGGCGGGGCGGGGCTAACAGGAGGTAAGTAAGGGCGTGGAACAGTAGGAGAATTACGGAGCGCCGTGAAGGACAAGATTGGCCACGTGATTCTCGTGGGAGTTTCCTGGAGTTAATAACAAGGAAGGAGTGTAAGAAGGGAAAGTTGGATTGTACTAATTCGAGGGATGCGGGTGAAGATTTGGAAAATTGGAAACTGGAGGAGCTAAAGAATATAGCTGGTGAGGAAGGTAGGAGTTCGTTAGGAATGGGTCTGGATTTTAGAGTGACCTGGAGAAAGTATGAAAGTCCCGTGGAGAAATTTACAGGAGCAGTTTTAGGTGTTTGACATAGAAACACCTCATCGTGAAGAATCAAGGCTCTTTCCATACAAGTTTATATATATATATATATATATATATATATATATATATATATATATATATATATATATATATATATTATATTATATATTTATATATATATATATATATATTAATTGATTTCAGAGAGGAAGGCCGAGGAAGAGAAAGAGAGAAACATTAAGATGAGAGAGAATCATTGATCAGCTGCCTCCTGCAAGCCCCACAGGGATGGAGCCTGCAACCTGGGATGTGCCCTGACCTGGAATAGAACCGTGACCTTTTGGACCTTCTGGTTCATAGGTCTACCCTGGACTACACCGTCTGTGCTCCATACAGGCTTTAGAAAGTACCGGGTTCTAGCAAACAAATTTAAAAATTACAATGGAATGACTTCCCTTTTTTAATTAAGTCATTGGTGTGTTGTTTTTATAATAGTCTTGTCGTTACTTCCAAATGCGAACCCAAGTGGACTCTTTAAAATAGGTATCATTTTATCCACACAACTTACTCTCTCTTAAATTACTAAATTTGTGCATCTGGCCTTCGATTTTTATTGAAACAGTGCGAATATCTGTCAACATGATCTGGCTAGGTGACCGAACAGTCTGGCTTTGGCTAGTCAGGAGCCAAAGAAACGAAGGTGCAACACTGGTCTTGATTCTTTTTTTTTTTTTAATTCTTTTTTTTTTTTAAATATATTTTATTGATTTTACACAGAGAGGAATTGAGAGGGACAGAGAGTTAGAAACGTTGATGAGAGAGAAACACCGACCAGTTGCCTCCTGCACACCCCCCACTAGGGATGTGCCCACAACCAAGGTACATGCCCTTGACCGGAATCGAACCCGGGACCTTTCAGTCCGCAGGCCGACGCTCTATCCACTGAGCCAAACCGGTCCCGGCACTTTTTTTTTTTTTTTTTTAATTCTTTATTGTTTAAAGTATTACATGAGTCTCCTTTTTTCCCCCATTGACCTCTCCCCTCCACCCTCTCCCCCAAGCAGAAGCCCTCACCTCCCACTGCTGTCTGTATCCATTGATTTTGCTCAGATGCATGCATACAAGTCCTAGGTTGATTCTTGCTAAAGTGTGGGGCCCCACCCAATTTCCAGTCCCACAAAATGAGCTGCTATATTTGAGGCAACTGTTAGTTTTCCACTTATTCAGCTTCTGCCCATTTGCCTCTCTGTAGTGTTTTACTTTCCATTTATTCTTAGCAAATTGCCTCCCAAACTGAATGTTGATTTTTCCTGTATATGTTTTAGTGTTTTTTTCTTCAAAACACTAATAATAGGTTAATCATTGAAAGGGGAATAAAAGAGAAAAACAAATTCTGATGTCAGTGTCATTGATAACTAAGAGAGAACTGTCCCCAAACACTGGTGATAGCTACCCACATTTTAAATATATTTTTATTGATTTTAAATATTTAGAGAGAAGGGAAAGGAGAGGGAGGGAGAGGTAGAAAAATCAATGAGAAACAGCAACATTGATTGGCTGCTTTCAGCAGACTCCCTATTCCTGCTGGGAATGTGCCCTGACCAGGAATCTAATTGGTGACCATTTGGTGCATGAGTGGATACTCAACCTCTGAGCCATGCTATCCAGGCATAACCCACATTTTTAAGTTTTTTTTTCCCCATTTTGTCTAACTTAACATTTACACCATGTGATTGATAAATCCCTCTTAGCCTCAATTAAGTCAATCTTTGCATTTCATCAGGTGTTGAAAGAGGGCATTTTTATTGAGTATTTGTTATTTTACCTATGTTATTTTAACTAATAATCACAAGAATCCAGTAAATGTTATGGTCCCTATTTATAGGAACTGAATCATAGAAAGACTAAGTAATTTACTCCAGCTCACAAAACTAGTAAGCATATTATCTAGTAGTATTATACTCAAATCTATAACTCTAAAAACCCAAGATCTTTCTCCTATATTCCACTGCCTTTATGCAGGCTTTTACATTGACTGACAATGCTGCCAATCATTTTGTTTTCCAAAGAAAGGATGTCAAGCTATCCACCAAAACCCTTAATTTATAGCATATCATTGCGATTGTAACTGGAAGAAACACTGCTCTGAAGCAACCATCATTTCTGTATTTTGATAATATTCAAACTTTACTATTTTCTGAAACTATATTAAGCTTTTAAATGTTTAGATATTTTATTATTTGAGAATATTCTCAAAATGTCCATTCTTGGATTTCTTACCCTTTGAGACAACATGGAGGAACCTGGAGTGAAATAAGCCAGCCAGAGAAAGACAAACATCACATGATCTCACTCATATGTAGGATCTAATGAACAAAATAAACTGATGAACGGAGTGGATCCAGAGACATGGAAGCATAGAACAGACTGAGGAATCTCAGAGGAAAGGCAGGGGAGGGTGGGTGGGAAGTGAACAACCAAAGACCTTGTATGGATATATGCATAATATTCATAACCCATGTAGACGGAAAAAAAAGAAAAGTCTATTCTTTTTGCCTGCTTCAATTCACAGAACTCTACCATGTAAATAAATAAATAAATAAATATGAAAACTGGTGTATATATACATATATTTTTCTTTCATGTAATACTATTTTCTACTTGAAACCTGGTTATAATTCTGCTTCACAGAAGAAAGCAAATGGCAAGAAAAGCGATTATAATAATAGGGCTGAGTGTAAAAAACAAAAAACGGGCCTTATGTGAAATGAACTATATGGTCCTCTGCTGGGTGTCTGTTGTTAATATAAACAATGCTAGCTGTGTTTTTAAAGCCACAGTCGAGTTTAGCTAATTTAAACAAAGTTAAACTATTTTTTTAATATATTGTTATTGATTTCAGAGAGGAAGGGAGAGAGAGAGAGATAAAAACATCAGTGATAAGAGAGAATCACTGATCGGGTGCCTTTCACATGCCCCACACTGGGGATCAAGCCCAAAACCCCAGTCATGTGGCCTGACCGGGAATTGAACTGTGACCTTCTGATTCATAAGTCATTGCTCAACCACTGAGCCATGCCAGCCAGGCTTACCTGTTTTTTCAAGCAGCCACCTCTTTATGGCATATCTCTGGTGGAAATTTTTCAACAACTTTATCTCTTACTAGCAGTTTCTGAAATAATGTGCAGAGCTGTTTCCATTCAATAAGAAATCTAAGAGAGGAACCCATGATGATGGCATAAACACCTAGACTCCTGCCTTGCACAACAATTTCAAAACTAATACTAAAGGATAAAACATCTATCATCCAGAGCCATTGGAGGGCTGGCTGAATGGAAGTTCTACAACTAAAAGGAAAGAGAAAAGAGCATTCAGTGCACAAACAGTGCACAAACGCCAAAAAGCTGAGGTATGGAGGTGCGGTGATTCGGGCTGGCAGTCGGCATTGCTTTCTTCAACCTGAAGGGAGATAAGCTCCCTATTTCTCAGAAATCCAGTTTCTGGGGAGCCGCGCAGGACCCAAACTCCTACAGGGAGAAGCTGGACTGTTTGCCATCAGGTCGGAAAATGAGGATGGCTTGCTTGCAGAGCTGCACGCAGAAATAATTGCTAGCTGCTCTGGGGCACAAGACGTGGGATGCGGTTTGCCAGCCATTGCTGTTTGCCATGCCTGGTGACACCCTGAGACCCTGCCCTGCACAACCTAAAAATCCACTCAAGATCCAAGCAGCGGCTTTTGCATATGAATGGCTTTCCCTATCACAGCTTAACTAGCAAACTTGCAACTCGGTTCAGACAGCTGCAAAATCTCCAAATCCCAAGCAAATAGGAGAAAACTGTAGTTCTCACTGTAGCTCCTGCAGGATGGCCTCAGACAGTAGCTGACGTGCACCCCATTGGAGATCCAGAAGCAGGTGTACCTAGTGGTCAGTGTGAGACATCAGATTTCAACTGGTCAGTGTGAGACATCAGATTTCAACTCCTCACATCCATAAGTGACACATTCAAGAGGCAAACTCAGTGAACAATAAAGCCCTACTAAAACAAGTCCTGCAACATAGTGTGTCTCCAGCGCAACAGTTCTTCCATTATAAACACAAAGGGTCCCCACAGCCAATTGGCCTGGAGGACAATTCCTCCCAGTATACCAACAGCAATCAAAGCTTAACTACACCACGACTTTGCACTCAGCCCACAAAGGGGTGTACCAAGAGCGTCCACATCAAGTGATTGGAGAGGCTGAGCTACTGGCCTTTATAGGTCACCTACCACATAAAGCCACTCCATCAACACAGGGAATTAGCCAAAATGTAGAGACACAGAATCTTGTCACAAATAAAAGAAATGGAGGAAAGCAAACTATGGGACGACATAGAGTTCAAAACCACATTTATAAGGTTACTCAAGAATCTTTTTTTCCTTTGCTTGTTTTATTTTTTTTTAATAAATCTTTACTGTTCAT